TGAAGGTGACGGAAGTTTAAGCATGTAAGAACAAATAATTTTTTATAAATAAATTTCAGGGTTTGTAGGGTCCTCCCACGTGTATACTATGTGCAGAATAATGCTGTTCTGTAAACAGCGCGCCCATTGAGGAAGGACAAATACTAATTGAGAAGAGATCAATTTAGAGGAGATAACTAGGCTGCAGACACATTTTATTCCTATAGATCTATGTGATCTTTATGATTACTCTCTTTGGGTTGTTTAAATACCACTTCTCAGAGACTAAATTAGTTTCCTTTCTTTGATATGAAGTTTTAAACATTAGGGGCAAAACAGTGGAATCCAGATACAAAGCAGGGCTGATTTCTGCACTCCTCTCAGTAGGAAAAAAAATAAGAGGAACCAAATGAAACTGTTCAAAAGGCCACCAAGGAATATCTTTCAATTAAGAAATGTAGAAAAATTACAGCCCTTGAGATATTGATTGCAGATAGGAAATATTTGAGTGGCTTCAAAAGAAGTGGTTAGTTACATTTAAGGACCAAGTAGAAAGTGGCTAGCATCCAAAAAATAGAATTATAAGTCCTTGATTTTTGTTTTTAATTTCTCAATAAAGGTTATATTCAGAAGATACAAAAAAGAGAAAACTCTGAACAGCAAATTAGACAGAAAGAGGAAGGGAGTTATCACTAAAGTTAACTTTAGTTATGAGTTGGCACTTTGAGTATAAACAGATCTTTCCATAGTGTAATTCCAGGATCAGTGATAACTTCTCCACCAAAAAAAACTAACTATACCAACTCATGGTGAGTCAAAGATTTGAAAAACTTTTGTTAAAGACAGTACTTTAACAGAAAGTGGCAATTGCATCAAATGAGAAAGCTGAAGTGTGTTAGAGGTCAGTAGGTTAAATATGTGACTCATGTCATGGAGCAAAAATTTGTTGAACATTCTATTATGAATCTGGAATTCTGTTAATTGTTTGATATAACAGACATGAATCATAGTCCTTGATCTCAACAAAAGTATATCTCCCTGCAGAATGTTAAGATAGTAATAAGCAGAGTGTTCCAAGGGGACACAACAGAGTGGTTCAGGTGATTATTCAAAGAAAGTGACTCCTAAACTGAATGGAATATGTATCAGGATGAAAAGTTGAGGGCACTGATCAGAGTGAATTTCGCCAGACATACCACTACACTGAGATGTACCCATGAATCAATTTGGCTTATGGATAGGAAAGTGATCTCCACTGATGAATTGATTACAAAGAGTTGTTGAACATATAATCTTTTATATGAATAATTACAATTAGCAGCATAAGTATAGTCTAGACTAAGACTATACATCATTATTACTACAGAACACAGTTCTGATTTTAGATGGAGTGCCTGAAATTTGATTAATGTTTAAATACACTTTTGAACCTGGCTATACACATTTCAAACACCTTTTTCTCTAAATGTAAATTGAGAATGTAGTTGCAATGATGTACTCATGATAAGATAAGGTGCAAAGCCGGGCTTGGTGGCTCAGCCTGTAATCCCGCACCTTTGGGAGGCTGAGGTGAGTGGATTGCCTGAGCCCGCGGGTTCAAGACCCGCCTCATCTCTACAATAAATTTTTTAAAAAATCAGCCGGGCATGGTAGTGCATGCCTGCAATTCCAGCTACTCGGAAGGCTGAGGCAGAAGGATCGCCGGACCCCAGCAGGTCGAGGCTGCCGTCGCCGGGAGCAGCCACTGCACTCCAGTCTGGGCGACAGAATGAGACTCCGACTCAAAAAAAAGATAAGGTGCAGAAGGAAATGAAAGCAATTGTAGGAGAACTTTTTTCCCAAGAATCCGTGCCATACTGCTTAATACTTTTTAGTTGTTTCATTATTTTTGCCGAGGAAGCACACAAGAAAGTTTAAGAATGAGCTATATGAGGCCAGATGCAGTGGTGCACGCCTGTAATCCCAGCACTTTGGAGGCCAGAGTAAGAGGATCATTTGAGGCTAAGAGTTTGAGATCAACACCAACCTAGAGATAATAGACCTCATTTTTACAGAAAAATAAAAATTAAACAAAATTAGTCGTGTGACGGCATGTGCCTATAGTGCCAACTACTCCAGTGGCAGAGACAGGAGCATAGCTTGAACCCAGGAAGTCAAGTCTACAGCCAAAATTGCACGACCATACTCCAGCCTGGGTGACAGAGTAAAACCCTGTCTCAAAAAAACAAAAGATGAACTGTGAAAATTTATGAAAAGTTTGACTCCACAGTACTGCCCAGGATTCATTTGTCTATGTGCCTTGAATACAAGAACATGATTCGGACTAGATAGAGACTCAGAAACCAGATGCATCTAAATGCTAATTGATGCTATGGGAGTTCAATAAAAGTACCCAGGGAAAACCTGTAGTAAGCAAAGACGTGGTATCAGGAAAGATTTCTAAAAATATTGATGCTATAGGAAAGGATAGTCAAAAAATTCTGGTGAATAAGATATAAAAGGAAAGAAGCAAGTTAAAACTCGTTATGAAAGACATGTGACTAAAACAATATAAATAGTGTTTACGCTCAAGAATATTCACAATTGTTCATAATAATTCATATCTGAAACCCATATATCCATCAACAAAAGAGTAGATTAACAGATGGGGGTGTATGCACATAATGAAATACCAGATTACAGAAAATAAAACAATGACTTCAGGTAAAAACATGAATGGATTCCATAGCAAGGTTGTCAGAAAAACATTATCAGAAAAGAATGTATTCAGTATATCACCATTTATATGAAGTTTGAAATAGAAAAAAGTATGTTTCAAGGATGCAGATAAAATTAGAAAATTATTTAAAAACAAAGTTATTATCACAATATCAAAATAGCTATTGGCTCTAGGAGGCATGGAGAAAGCTACAATCACAGAAAGCCACAGAGGACTGTCTGTGGTGCAGACTATGTTCTGTCTCTTCTTTCAAATGGCAGTTGCACTCATGCTTCCTCTTTAAATATTATTTAAATTACACCCATTAGTATGTACTCTTCTCTATTATAATATATTTACTTTTAAAAATGACAATTGTGAATGTCAGGCCCACAGTGTATATTATTGGTAGTTTATTAAATATACATTTATACTTAATACACAATTAAAAGAAGGAAAAGAAAAGGAAGCATGCTGATAATGCAGTTTAACAGAAAGATCAAGCATTTCACTGAGTTGTCCTTTTTGGCATACAAAAATAGTAAATACATGCAGTTCAACCAAACAAAAAGAGTATATTGTATTTAGAGCAAAGACTCTTACAGATGACTTAATTTTTAAAAGCAGTTTTACTGCTTTACTAATATTGAGACACAAACCGAATTAGATTGGTGAGTAATTAGCACTTTAATTTTACAGAAAATCTTGGTAAATAAGAAGGAAAAAAAAACAGTGAGATATAATGGGAAAGGATTTTTTTATTTTAAGCAATCTTGATAGTGTTAAAGAGATAAACACAGAAGTCTAAAACTCAAGACTGAGTTGAAAAAAAGTTCAGAGGTGCCATATAAAGTTTGGTCAAGGAAAGAATCTAGTCAATAGTTAAGCAACTGGCAGGAGTTCAACCTTACCTAATCACAAAGTAATCATAGGCAATAACAGCTATATTATTTTTGGAATGTATAGCTTAATCATTGTAGCTGAGTGGTTCTCAAACTTTGATGTGCTTCAGAAATCACCAGGAGAGATAAAGAACCCAGAGACCAAGGTTCACAAAAGCAGGGTAGAGACTGGGCCTTAGAACTTTTGCCATGTTCCTAGACCATTTATTAACTATATTAGTGCATCAAAATACTGTGTTTGACACCAGGATGAACAAGACCAGAAATCAAGATTGTCTTAGAAATGCAGAGATTGTCAGTGGATAGGAACACAAAACAAATTTTTATAAAAAAATTTTTTCATTAACAAAACCTCTTCAGCTATGACAGTGCCATGTTAAACCAAGTTCTACTGCAAAAGCACACAGATTATCTGTGTAGTCAGCCAAAATGTTCAGCTCCTGTATGTTCATTTAATGAAGATCCAGCACTTCAAGCAAAGACATTGTAGCTGCAGCGATCCCATTTTATGAAAGAGCAATAACAATACCCATGCTGCCCACCTTTTGCCTTTAATATGATTAATGTTTATCCATATGCTTGTTCAAGGGATTCCAGCACTCAAAAAAACCAGGAACAAGATTTTTGAAAAAGCCCTCCTGAGGAAGGAGAATGCAGAATGCAGTTAATCTACAATCTGGTTGTGGTCAGACTGACAAGCTGGACACCAGATGGTAGCCATCAAGATGAGCGTGCTGAACTACATGTAGCCTGTCCTTACAAATAGTTTCCAAGCCCCTGTGCCCCTTAAAAACTCTCCAATCAGTGTAAGACATTTGAAATGGTCTTTGTGACTTGAGTCCACCATCTCCTCAGGTTTGGGGCTCTTAAATGAAACCTGTATTTTTTCTACTAACACTTGTCTCTTGAGTTTGTCCTTCGAGTTGTGAGCAGCTGAGACTGAATTCAGTTACAACACAAAACTGTTGGTGATGTGTTTGTTTGTTAGTTCTGGTTTTTGGTTTTTTGGTTTTTTGCTCCAACTTGTGAGTGTTGGAAGGATGAGGATATCAGACTACCTATGAAATCACCTCTGTCAATGGTCTCTTCTCAGTTTAAAATTGAATCAAACAAGTACTTTCAATGGACTCATCCACAGAAAAAGAAACTTGACAAAATGGAAAGAACTATAAAAATAAGAATTTCAGAGGAGTAAAAACAATTTTTAAAATTTTCCCTCAATCAACCATGTAATACTTATTAGTTAGAGCTGAGGCTGGTCATGTATTTACATGATTAGTTGTTAATTACAAGAAGAAAATCTATGTTAATCGCATTAATTGAATTTTTCACTAGCCTCCATTAACATAACTATTAATACCACTTTTAAAGGTTTTAATTTCATTTTTATAAACTGATTGGGCTGAAATCAGAAGTCTGTGATGAGAAACCATACAAGATTAACAACATTCATCCTGCTGGGATTGACCAGTGACCCACATCTTCAAGTTTTGATATTTATCTTTCTGCTTATCACCTACATGCTAAGTGTAACTGGAAATCTGACCATCATCCTCCTTACTTTGGTGAATACTCAACTGAAGTCTGCTATGTACTTTTTTCTCCAAAATTTTTCTCTTCTAGAGATCTCATTCACTACGGTCTGTATACCCAGATTCCTTTACAGCATGTCTACTGGAGATAAGACCATTACTTATAATGCTTGTGCTAGTCAACTATTTTTTTTTATCTTTTTTGGATCAACTGAATTTTTCCTTCTGGCCATCATGTCCTATGACCGCTATGTGGCCATCTGCAAACCCCTACATTACGTGACCATCATGAGCAGCAGAGTCTGCAGAAAATTTGTCCTGTGCTGTTGGGTTGGAGGTTTGTTCATCATAATCCCTCCACTTGGCCTAGGCTTAAATCTGGAGTTCTGTGACTCAAATGTCATTGATCATTTTCTCTGTGATGCCTCTCCTATCCTCAAAATATCTTGCTCAGACACATGGTTGATAGAACAGATGGTCATAACCTGTGCTGTGATGACCTTCATCATGACCCTTGTGTGTGTAGTTCTCTCCTACATATATATCATCAAGACAATCCTAAAATTTCCCTCTGCCCAGCAAAAGAAAAAGGCTTTTTCCACCTGTTCTTCCCACATGATTGTTGTGTCTATCACCTATGGAAGCTGCATCTTCATTTACATTAAACCTTCAGCAAAAAAAGAAGTGGACATTAATAAGGGTGTGGCAATACTAATCACTTCCATTGCTCCAATGCTAAACCCATTTATATACACCTTGAGAAACAAGCAAGTGAAACAAGCATTCACTGACTCCTGCAAAAGAATTGCATTTCTTTCAAAGAAATAGGGAAATATTGAAATTGTAGATTCAAGTTATCAAAAATGTGATATTGTTATTACTTATAATTAGATTATTACTTATAATTAGATTAGAGCAGATCGACAAACTGTATTTGATACTTGATAAGTATAGAAAACAAAAGTAAGCTTTATATGTTATAAGAGAAACTTAAAGTGTTAATATGCACCTAGTAGGAAAAAATGTGAACTCATATTTTAGCTTTTATTTCTTTTTAAAGTAATCCATCTTTATTGTATTTTTAAAATGTATGAATATTCAATAAATTACAGAAAATAAACTGGTCCTTTATCCTAGATAGTTTGAGAAACACTGGGCCAATAGGTTGTACTTTTCTAAACTATTAATAACTTTTCAGTCATTGATAAATTCAGATTAACTGTCTTAAAATGTTTTTGGTCTTGAAGCTAAGACAGATCCTAACCAGTTTATATTTCCTCTTTTGGCAAAACAATTGTGCTAGAGGGCCATATCTGTCCAGAAGAACAAGCCAGATCACACCTCCAATCCAGTGTTACCAATTAAGTCAAATCAGTTGTGTATATGGGTGAATCAAATAGATTAGATAGAGATAGATAGATAATAGATGATAGATATAGCTACAGATATAGATATATAGATAGATACATATATAGATACAGAGAGAGTGAGAGAGGGAGCTATAGACAGATAGATAGTTGAGACAGATAGTTTCCAATCACATAACTATCAGGACCATTCTCAAAATGTGATAAGATAAATCTCAAAAATATAGCCTGTGAAAAGACAAATATATTTTATTATGAAGGAGGAAAACTAACATGTTAAAGACCTAGAAATAGCATCTTAAATAGGAGTTTTAAATAAAGTTAGAATGAAACATCTTTTCTTAGGAAAAAGCAGGGCAAGAACTGAAACACATATTTTGGCACTAGTTAAAAAGGCAGCTATACTATGGGCATAAATGAGAACCAATCTCAATAATATTCAATTGGAAAGGTATTTGAAAACCTCAGGTAATATATTAATCAAAAATCAATAGCATAAAATTTAAAAGAACAAAAAAGTATGAATATCAGAATTACTTCTCAAGGAGAAATCTTTATACACTTAGATATTATATTTTTCACAAATTTTTCTCTCTATCTCCTTATTCCCGTATGTCCAGACATATGGAATACTTTTGTCTCTCTAATCTTTTATTTTTAGATTCCTGTTCATTCAGAAATGTTTTTCTTTCCATTCTCTAGCTGATCCTTTGGATTAATCCCATTCAACCTTCAGATTCCAGCATAAATAGGAAATATTTATTGGGTCACTTACCAAATCTATGTCTGATGACATATGTATATATCGTGTGTGTGTGTGTGTGTGTGTGTGTGTGTGTGTGTGTGTGTGTGTGTGTGTAGTAGTAGTAGTAGTACTATGTATGTATATATACACATATGTATGTATAGTATGTACCTGTGATTAATATACATATAGTATGTATGTGTATAACATATGTCTTAGTCTACTTTGCATTGCTATAGCAGAACATCACAGACTGCTTAACTTATAATGAGCAGAAATTTATGGGGTTGCAGTTTTGGAAATGTCTCAGTGGGGAATTTTATGAGTGTCCAAAAGACAAATAGGAATGGCATCACAGAGTAGCAAAAAAATAAGACCTCAGTCAAATCAATGATTTATATAGCTGCCGTTGCTTGTTGAATCATTTCTAGTTTTCAGAATATCTCGATTTTAGTTTTCTTAAATTAGTTTTTTAAAAATCCCTAACCTATTATAAAGCCAGCTAAAAACATCATTAAGAAAATTAACCACTGGTTCTTCTTTAGAAACTTGTTGTAGTCAAATGACTTTTCTCATTATTCCTGGATTAGTTTATAAGTCATGGGAAGTATTTAAGTATGCACAGGAGGTATTTTCCACCACACCTACACCTTTTGGCTCAGTTAATATGAAATCTTAAACAATGTGACTATCGAGTACAACTTTAGCCAGTGGATTAATAGTTTTTTCTTGCAATGTAGAGGCAGCAGTTGCATTAGTAATATTTTCTAAGATCATAGAAAGATTTCTAACCATGTGTTTATAAGAAGTGACACTTCAACAAGGCAAAAGCCTCTCCCAGTGAAATGCACAGTGCTATCTTCTTGATGGCTGGGCAGATAATTAGTGGATTTTCCCTAAATAGAATCTCTGTCTAAAACAGATTGAAGGTCACACCTAGAGAAAAGTTTGAGAAAACTAGTCCAACATTGGATTTCTTCAGAGTTAGATAGATAGATGGTGATAATAGATAGAAGATAATAGATAAATAGATAGATAGGTAGACAGATGATAGAAGAGAGAGAAAGAAACAGACATAGGTATAGATGATATAGAGATAGATGACAGATAGAGGATAGATAGATAAAGATAGGTGATGAAATATTCTAAGAGATGTCCTAAGAAGCATTGCCCTTCATTATTCCATGCCCTTAGACATTTATAGGCCTATGAATGGTGAGCTCATCAAAAATAAATATTGGCTGAGTGCAAGAAAGTGTACTACAATTTCAGTATATCAGTGTGGAGGCATTATTAAGTCATGGGTCAAATTGTTAGAGCGAGAGGCTTGGTTGGATCCTGATAACAGAAAGGATTGGTTTCCTTCTAATTTTCTGACATCATGTATTTCGGCACCATTATTTGTTGGTGAGATTATAATCATTTTGAAAACAAAATTCTGATGAGTTAAACTGAAACATAGGATGAACAGATTAGGATAACTCAATAAGTTGTTTTTGTTTAGGTGGCCCTTAAATTGCATTACAAGCACAATTGGAAATACTGGAGAAATGTAGGAGAGGATGCATCACAGTGAGTCACTGTGATCAAAACTGGTTTGTGGTTTAGGATGGTAAACCCAGCATCTTATCAAATTCCAGCAGTAACAATGATTGATGAGATTTTTGATTAGAGAATTATTCCTTCATGTTATAGTCAAATTTATTAGGGACAGCAAAGACATATATTTTTTTACTAGGACACACATATTGTGTTTTTGCCATCCCTAATAAAGTGCTTCAAAGTACTCTCCGCTTGATGCAAAACACTTGTTGAGACGCTTTTTCCACTGCTCAAAACAGTTTTTGAACTCATCAATTTGGATTCCTTTAAGTGCTTCTGCCATTTTTTGTTTGTTCATTTCACCTCTTCCACATCAGCAAAATGGTTCCCTTTGAGGACTTTTTTTCATCCAGGAAACAAACAAAAAAGTTACTGGGGCAAGTTTGGGTGAACAGGGAGCGTGGGGCATGAGAGTCATGCTGTTTTTGATCAAAAACTGCTGAATACTCAGTGCAGTGTAGGCAGGTTGTTCCTGCAAATCATCCATTATGAAATGGGCAAACATTAAAAGAACCTCAAAAAAAAAGCCACTGAAGCCAAATGCAGTCTCTCACAACAAGACCGTCTTGTACACTAATCCCACTGAGTTCCTAGAACACTGACCCAGTGGGAGAAAGTCTGTGCTACAAGGGACCCACCCTCCAAAAAATAATTCTGGGTCTTTGAGGGGTCTGCCTTCATACACGATTGCAGGCTCGCCTCTTCTGGTGAGTTTTACCCTGAAGCTACCAAAGTAGAAGTTTCAGGTTAGATTATCAGGTGGTAGTTGTAGGGAGATATAAATCAGGATAGGAGAGTCTGGATAACAGAGGATATAAGGCTGCAGTGACTGAAGGAGGAAGGACAGTGGAAGGTGGAAAAGAGAAGGTCTCCAAAGTCTTTTTTAAATTAGAAATAAGTTCTGATATATTTTTGTTTACCACATGGATAGTGATAATTTTCTTAGTGCCATTGGAAGTAAATCTCCCTTCCAATCTATCTGGTTCTAAAACTAGCTTTCTCCAATAGTGCACAAAAATAAATTATTTTAGGCATTCCAAAAGACATTCTGGGTTATGTATGTAGGTTTCTCTACATATTTACAAAACAGCACCCCATAAGAGTTACACATAAAAGCAGCTGGTGTTTCTAAAGGAGGTTGCCACTTAAAAGAGCATTCAGTAAACATACATGTGCAGGTATCTCTTTTATAGAGTGATTTGAGTTCTTCCGGGTATATTACCAGTAGGGTGACTGTGGGGTCATATGGAAGGTCGATTTTTAGATCTTTTAGGACACGTCACACTGTTTTCCACAGAGGCTGTACTAGTTTACACTCCCACAAACAGTGTAGAAGTGTTCCCTTTCGCCACATCCTCTCCAGCTTCTGTTGTTTTTTGAGTTACTTATGATGACCATCCTGACTGGAGTTAAGTGGTATCACAGTGTAGTTTTAATTTGCATTTTTTTGAAGAGGACTAGATTTTTTTAATGTGGTACATATACACGATGGAATATTACACAGCCATAAAGAAGAACAAAATCATGAACTTCATAGCAACCTGGATGGACTTAGAGTCTATAATACTGAGTTATTTTTCACAGAAACAAAGAACTGAGTATCCCATGTTCTCACTCATAAGTGGACCTTGAACAACTATCGTAATACTATAAGAAAAGGATTGGCAGTAGCAGGAAACTGCAGAGGTGGTGGGGAAACGGGATTGGCAGTAGTGGGAATCTGCCTGGGGAAGTGGGGGCATACCTCATCAACAAGGGTACCTGCATAATGAACATTTGTATCCCTAACCCTGAACTGTACCCCACATCTTTAAGATAAAAAATTAAAAGTTTAAATAAATAAATTTTTTTTAAAAGAGCATTCAGAGCCAAGCACAGTGGCTCATGCTTGTAATCCTAACACTTTGGGAGGCAGGAGGATCATTTGAGCCCAGAAGTTCAAGACCAGGCTAGGCAACATAGCAAGACCTCAACTCTACAAAAAAGCTGGATGTGGCGGCTCATATCTGTAACACCAGCCACTCGGGAGGCTGAGGCCAAAGTACTGCCTGAGCTCAGGAAGCTGAAGGTATGGTGAGCCATGATTGTGCTATTACCCTCCAGCCTGGGTGACA